TGTCAGTTGGTAACATACAAGGGTGATATTATTTTGCAGGCTGCAACAGCGTACAGCAAAGGGGATCGAGCTTATGCTGCTTATCTTTCTGATCAGGTCTATTCTTCTTTGAAAAGAACAGCAGAATTTGTGTGGAAAACATATGACTCTTATCTTTCTTCGAGACGTATATTTATAATAATCTGTGATATTTTATCTTTGCACCATTTGAATCTCAATTCATTAACCTTTACATTAACTGTATTTTGTCCGAACCTTTCCTTTACTATGGGTTGCTTTGTTGTATGATGTTTAACTATTTCTGTGTCTGGCTAGGGTAAAGAACAAAGTAAACTAGCTCAGAAAGCAGACACTAGGGCCAGCCATGACATATTTATAGCTAGGTTCGTGGATTTCTTTAAAATCTAAAGCCAGAGAACTTCCTTTTCAACAATCGCCTCATGTAATTACTATTGCTACTATTAAGCTACTGTTTGTGACATATGCAGAAACAAGGGAATAGAAAACGTGATAACTATTGATTTACATGGGCAACACGTGAAACAAGCAATGAAAATGCTGAAACTCCACCTTCTGTTTGGATCATATGTTCCCTGTAAGCATTTCTGAGGACCTAGGTTCTCACATGTTCTCAAGACTTTTTGACTAAACCAACATTGCGTTATTGAATTGCATTTGTATTTACATCTGTCTATTTATCTGATTGCCTTTATTTCATATCTCTGCTTCAGCTGTGCAGAGACTAAGGGTTATCACAGGATGTGGATCACATGGTTTTGGAAAGTCTAAGCTGAAACAATCAGTATGGTCTAATTCACCCTCTTCCATCCTATCTTATGTCCTCTTACATCTAGTGTGAAACAGTTTTCAATGTATTTACATGTTGGTCAACATTTTGGAACTTGGTTATTAAAAGGGTAATTGAATTGTTTGTAAATGGTGGTTTATTTTTCTTGTGATTTTTGTCATCACAGGTGATAGACCTTTTGGAGAGAGAAGCAATTGTATGGAGGGAAGAGAACCAAGGAACTGTGTTGATTAAGCTCAGCGGATGGAGAGAGTATAGCTTTCTGGACACCAACAGTGACAGTGATAACACTGATTGATTAAACATGATGTATAAGTTATGTGCATCAGATTGTTGTACCATATTAGATCATTATCCTGGCCAAAATAAATAAATTAGAGATGTTACATTCACATGTACATTATATGTTAGCCAAGCTAGATCTTGGGACGTTTTGGTGTATCATTGTATGAGTCAGAATTGCATTTCCAGAGTAGGCTAATTATTCAGCGGTGTGAATATGTAATCATATTTAATTTAATTTTCAGGGATTTTACATTCAACTTTGCCCTTTTGAGCTGGTAAACTCAAGAGTTAACAATTCCAAGTGTATAAGCTCAATTGCTATTTGCGCTGATTTACATCGTTTTTTGATGAAGTCTGGTAAATTTGAGTGGTAGTGCTCAAAATAGTGAGTTTATAATCGAATTGGCAAGTCAACTTTAACATCCAATGTAGAACTAAATGACATTGATTTGTGTCGGTCTCTTGCAAGATATCATAAGAAAATCATATACAAAACTGGATAATAACTTTTTATCTCTTTTTGTAATTAAATTAAATTGGTCTAAAATTTAAATTTTGAGATTGTATCAAATCCTGTAATAGAGGTTGTTAGACTTGTTGAATTTAATGCATTATGGACCGAAAATTTAGAAATGTTCAAAATTTTAGATTAACTAGTAATATGATGAAAATGATGTATATAAGGGAATAATGTGGAGGTTGGACTAAATTGAATCTAAATCCATATTTTTAAGAAGTTTTTGCATGTTTCCTAAAGTAATAGTGCTATTTTTATATGTTTATATAATCATTATATTATGTATCTATAAGATGTCATTCATTCGAAGATCGTAATGTCTTAAAGTGTGACTCAATGTACAACTACTCGTTATATTATTATTATTATTATTATTATTATTATTATTATTATTATTATTATTATTATTATTATTATTATTATTATTATTATTATTATTATTATTATTATTATTATTATTATTATTATTATTATTATTATTATTATTATTATTATTATTATTATTATTATTATTATTATTATTATTATTATTATTATTATTATTATTATTATTATTATTATTATTATTATTATTATTATTATTATTATTATTATTATTATTATTATTATTATTATTATTATTATTATTATTATTATTATTATTATTATTATTATTATTATTATTATTATTATTATTATTATTATTATTATTATTATTATTATTATTATTATTATTATTATTATTATTATTATTATTATTATTATTATTATTATTATTATTATTATTATTATTATTATTATTATTATTATTATTATTATTATTATTATTATTATTATTATTATTATTATTATTATTATTATTATTATTATTATTATTATTATTATTATTATTATTATTATTATTATTATTATTATTATTATTATTATTATTATTATTATTATTATTATTATTATTATTATTATTATTATTATTATTATTATTATTATTATTATTATTATTATTATTATTATTATTATTATTATTATTATTATTATTATTATTATTATTATTATTATTATTATTATTATTATTATTATTATTATTATTATTATTATTATTATTATTATTATTATTATTATTATTATTATTATTATTATTATTATTATTATTATTATTATTATTATTATTATTATTATTATTATTATTATTATTATTATTATTATTATTATTATTATTATTATTATTATTATTATTATTATTATTATTATTATTATTATTATTATTATTATTATTATTATTATTATTATTATTATTATTATTATTATTATTATTATTATTATTATTATTATTATTATTATTATTATTATTATTATTATTATTATTATTATTATTATTATTATTATTATTATTATTATTATTATTATTATTATTATTATTATTATTATTATTATTATTATTATTATTATTATTATTATTATTATTATTATTATTATTATTATTATTATTATTATTATTATTATTATTATTATTATTATTATTATTATTATTATTATTATTATTATTATTATTATTGTTATTATTATTATTATTATTATTATTATTATTATTATTATTATTATTATTATTATTATTATTATTATTATTATTATTATTATTATTATTATTATTATTATTATTATTATTATTATTATTATTATTATTATTATTATTATTATTATTATTATTATTATTATTATTATTATTATTATTATTATTATTATTATTATTATTATTATTATTATTATTATTATTATTATTATTATTATTATTATTATTATTATTATTATTATTATTATTATTATTATTATTATTATTATTATTATTATTATTATTGAAAACACTTACACACATATATTTACTTTTTTTATGAGAAAAAAATAATGAAATTATAATTTAAAAATAAAAATAAATAATTTTTATAATTTAGTTATAGATAATTTTATTTATTTTGTAAATGATTTTTTTAATTTAGTAGATAATTTTTTATTTATTTAATTTTTAAAAATAGTTAAAATTTAAAAATTAATTAAACTTAAAAAATCAGTTAAATTTAAATAAAACGATAATTTAAAAGATAAAAGTAAAAAATAAAGTGAACACCAAAAAGAGAAATCTCTTTATATATAAATATAAATTATAGTAATTTTCTGTATGTAATAATGTTAAATTATAGTTTTATTGAGAGTATTGTGTCTATAGGTGTTCTAGTATATTTTTGTATATTAGTAAAATTTACTAATTATGAGTTGATATTAATAATCAAGTAATGATTTTAACAATTATTCATATATACATTTATATACTTTTATGGTACCCTTGTATTGATTCTTATTTCACATCAGGAATGGTATATATACTATTTGCTGGCTTACAGAGAAATCATGTTTACTGAAAGTCTTGTGGAAATGAACAGCGAGTCTTGAGGACATCGATATTCATAAACTTATAAAAAAGAAGATTTAGAAGAAGATAATCTGTTCCTTTAATGGTTTTGGTAAGAAACAAGAGTGGTTGATTGAGATTTTACATGAACGATAATTTAGAAAAAATATAACATGCATTTCAATTAAAACAATTTCACAAATATACTTTAACCATGTTTAGTTTTCAAAAGAAGTTAAAACTTTGCCTTGAGTAGAAAATTAGGAGCAATTAAAAAAAGGAAACTACTTTTCTCACCAAATACAGAACAAGCTCTGGCTCCACCAATTTTTAGGATCAAAACAACTTACTAGCACTCCATCTCATTTGTAAAAAACAATCTTAATTACAGTTATACTTATTCAATTTTTTTTCTTAACTCCAAATTTATCTGTCTACCATAATTGTATATTTAAAATTAAATATTAAATTATTTTTAGTAAATTTAAATATAAACAAACTTCAAATCTAATGCTCATATTTTAAAAGTTAATCTTATACATCTCCACTAAATATGATTCAAGATAATTTAAAACTTTTACTTTATTTCAAGAACATTAAACGAATTTAACACTGTAAAATTAAGTATTTATAAACAAAACTACCTAATTTACATTCATTAAATATATTAGTTCGATTCATTTAATATTTCTGAGTTCATACCATCGATTTCATCCCATGTAGAGATATGTTTTAAATTATGGAGTACCCTTAATTATATTTATCGAAGATGATGTTTAAGTTTAAACATAATTTTTAAATAATAACATTGATTAGGATTGAGTTAGATGGAATGAATTGTTAATGACCAGATCAAGAGTAGGAAAAGTTAAGATTCTCCGAATTATGAAATGCTATTTATCTTGGACAGTCATGTTCACATACTTTTCTCCATAAATTTCACTTCAAAAATTCTATTTCCCGTTTTATAGTTTAGGAGAAAACTTCATGTACTAAGTTCCACACAGAAATAACCATAAACCTATTAGCAGATGCTTATGAAAAGTTAAGTGGTCCGTACAGAGAATAAAAAACTGGAAACAGCTTCAACAAGTCCTGGTTGAGAATTGACGTGTACATTTTATAGAGGAAGTTCACCGCTGTCAGCAACCACAACCTTGCTCTTGGGAGTGCCACTTTGCCTACCTTCAGCTTCAACCTTGTAAACAACATCCATTCCAGAAAGAACTTTACCAAAAACAACATGCCTTCCGTCCAACCTGTCAAATACATAATACATTAATAGTTAGTAAAAACCAAAAAAGAGTTGGTTTATATATCTTAAGTAACACTACACAATCTGCACAAATGGTTACACCAAATACAGCCTTCTTCACAGATTGATGGATAAAATCACAGCAGAATCAAATCATTATGCACAATACAAATATGAAATATGCAACATAAGATTTTGATATTTGTGTTCTTCTAGGAACTTTTTGATCTGGATTAAATTACCAGCTTGTTGTCACAGTTGTGATGAAAAATTGTGAACCGTTGGTATCAGGACCTGCGTTTGCCATTGACAGAATACCTGTTCATACATCAAATAACAAAAAGGCTTTAATCCCATCATAGGTTCGTTTGAATTTATGTTTAAGAAACAACTATAACAATACAAGAATATTACCTGGTCCAGTATGCTTTAACTTGAAGTTCTCATCAGCAAACTTCTCTCCGTAAATTGATTCTCCGCCCATTCCATTGCCATGTGTAAAATCACCTCCTTGGATCATAAAGCTAGGAATAATTCTGTGGAATGTGCTACCTTTGTAATGGAGAGGCTTTCCATTTTTACCAATTCCCTTTTCCCCTAATAATTTGGAAAAAATGTAAATTTAATATAGAATGTATTTTAATTTGTAAGACTAACATGTGCACATTATAAATCCAAGCAGTGATATCATCATGTAATATTATTAAGGGAAGAGGAAATGATATTAAACTCATATATCAGTGAAAAGAACCACGAGAATAAAGAACAATCCACCTTCACTCTAAGAACTTAACTATGTCTTCCTATTAAAGCTGTCCTCAATTTGTTCTAATGAGTAGAGCAGTCTAATTACAGCTGGATTTTTACTCATCGTTTCTTACATTGAATGAATCTATTTATTCTAACACGACTGAATTTGAAACTCAATAAAAGGATGGAAACAAGTTCTCTAACTATTATATGATAAACATCAATACATATAAGCAGCAGACACAAGCTCACCTGTGCAAAGAGCTCGGAAGTTTTCTGCAGAAACGGAAATAAAAACAAGGCTTCAGTTAACATTAAAAATGATAATTGATAAGAATAAAAATGCAGAGAATTTAGAAACCCAACCTGCAGTTTTTGGAACTGCCTTCCCGTAAAGACCGATTACAATACGACCTGGAAAGTCAATCATCATAGCATAATACAAACGGTCAAAATTTCATACTCAAAATTATGGGAAAAAGGAATGATATAACATCAACTCAGCGTTATCAATGATAGATAGTGGAAGGACAAAATCGCACCATATAAAATAATATTATTTTGCTGACATAGCGTGCCTCCCTTTACATACTATGGCAGTTGGCAAAAAATCTGCCATGACAGCCATGGTGTATCTAACAACAGTGGAATCACTTATCTATATCAACTATAGTACAAGTGGATTGTGACCCCGGGTGAATTCTACTTGTAAAATGAGTTGCCATTCCGGGGAGGATATTACTTAAACCGGCTAATTTTACAGCTTTAGCTATGAGTATACCTGATCAAGGACAAAAAAAATATAACACTAAAAACAACCAAGTTCTCCCTAGACTCTAGCTTTGTGCTAAAACACTCACGGATTTGCTTTTGCATTTGCTTTTGGTATTACTTCAAAAGGCTTCTTACTAAGGGATGTATTCATATCCGACGTGAAACTTTGTTTGTAGCTAACAGTATAAGGATTCATTATCAAGCAAAAATTCGACACACCCTCCAAGTTTCACTTACATTACCAAAACATCCAAAATCACTTCCACAACCCAAATATTAATCGAACTTATTTAACCAATATTTTACCTATCATGAATCACTATTCCTTCATTATAGCTAGATCGTTGGTAAAATAAGTTTGTTTAATATTTGCTCATGGGAAATGATCTGTGTTAAAGTGTGTGTGACATTACTCAATTATAATTTTAGAAGGTATCTTTAGTCATCTATCATCTCATTTCACTTCGAATCAAATCACAGACACAACAAACAGAGTTAATAAAAGGCATAAAAAGAAGGAAGCTTAGAGACCTGCAGCTTTTCCATCGATCTCAACATCAAAGAAAACCTTGTTCGTCACTTCCTTCAATTCCTCCTTTGATTTCTTCGCCTGTGACCCACACATTGACCAATAAATTCAAAATAAAAAATAAAGTATGCAGAATTGAAGTTGGCGTCAAACTCAATTGCAGTTCAAACATTTCTATGGCCCGGGATTTCATTTTAGATTGAGATGATATACAGATTGACTTCCCCCTAATAAAATAGAGTCTCGATCTCAAGCTCCACAGTTAAATAAGAAAATTGAATAAGAAAATTGAATAAGAAAATTGAGACCTGGGTGAGAGCCAGGGTTCCGAAGAGGAGCAGCGTACAGAGCAACAACAACGTCGTTTTCGCCATTTCTGATCTCAGTTTCGCCGCTACTACTACGACAGTGAAAGAGTAACCATGATGTTGGGGATTGTAGCTTTATATGGGAATTCCATTAGTTATTTGTCATCTCAGTCAATCGGAATTTGACACGTAAGCTTTTATTCGAAGTTGTTTGATCCAATCAGCTATATATCTGGGTCTTCGTTACTTTGGGCCATCATTTGTACTCCGCACCTCATTACAGGCTATTGCTTCCTGCACTTCACATTACTATTTGTACTCCATCGGACACTTTTCATTATTGCAACACACAATTGTCGTTACTTCTATCATCAACGCTGCTGTAGAGGAAGAAGGAAAGAAGTAGAACAATCCAAGGAAGAAGAGAGAAAATGAGAAAAAAACTTGTTTTGGAACGCATTTCATATGTTTTGAAAAATTCTTCCCATAACACATTTTATGTAGGGATGTACCGAAAAATTAATTTCACACATTATATACATTTCACAAATCGTATTTCAAAAAACCTGTTTCAAAGCACATCTCCTTTTGGAAATTTTGTTCTAAAATTTCATTTTAAAATCCTATTCTAAAAATTCCGAAAAACATGTTCCTAACCATAATCCCCAAATCATTTTTATGAAAAATAAAATATCATTTTTAAAATTTGGAAGTGTGTTAAGAAATGGTAGAGGTGCAGGAAGTAAAAGCACTCATCACCCCAAACTCAGTTTTGATTAACTATTTTTTTCCTAACTACTATTTTAGTTTTTATTTAAAAGTTTTCCTATCTTACAAGTAACACATAACCAAACTTTAAATTATTTTTGTATAACAAATAAAATGTTGCATCATCCTCCGATGTCTAGACATGTCTAAATTTATATTTTCATTTTTTATGTTAATGAAATTTATCAGATTTATGTTCTCTTTCTATCACATAACGAAGGGTAGCACCTTAAACAAAAATAATACTTTGACACGAGAATTCATTCTTACATTTAAATGACATAGTTTGATCTCATATTTTTAATATTTACTAAGGATAATTTTAGAAGGAAAAATGAAATTTTTTTTAAAAACATTGAGTTTTTTTTCCGCCTATGATCCTTAAAATTTTACCCGATATCCTTTCTCTCTCGTGGTGACATTGTATGCGCGAAATCCCTCTCTGATATCCCTTTGTCTCCTCCATTGAGCCAAAAATCATCGTGTTCTTATGAAAATAGAGTATTATGCAACAAAGTTTTGTTTATATGCTTATGATTTAGTATTGTGACTTGTTTTGAACCCCTTTTTTTATCTCACAATATATTTTTTATTTTTGTTTATGGGTTTTGCAAATTATGGTTCTTGGATTGTGGGTGTTGTGTTCTTGCAACATTGTTGTGTTGTGTTTAGGTTAGGGTTTTTACAACAATGAAAAAGAGTGTTGAAGATTATGGTTGTTGGTTGGATTGGGGATGTTGGATTTTCATTATTTGATTGAGTGTGTTGGTCATTTTTTTTTATTGTGAGTTTTGTAATTTTTGTTAGATTGTGCCTGTTTTTATGGTTCTTTTGTGTTGGTTTTGGGAGAGAATTTTGTACTTCCATTTTCTAATTGTTATGTCACTGTGATTCTTGTTTTCGTGATGTTGTGACGTGATATGTGTGTGAATGTGCTCGTCTACTTGATCATGTTTGCTTTATTTAAAAAACATTAACTCTAAGTATATGAATATTTTATTTCTCAAAATTGTTATATTTGACATTTAAGAAACCAAAAAGTACTGATATTGAATATTTATAATATCATGTTTTTTATGGCATATATTTTTTTTTATAAAAGTTAATTAATTAATATTAAATAATAATAAAATAGTATAAATATGATATATTCAATAAAAATAGTAATAAAGAAATTAATTTTTTATTTTAAAATAAAAAAAATTAAACTCGTGTAATCATCTCTATTTTTAAAATTTCAAATTCTCTCATGCAAGGCAGATAATATAAGGAAGAGAGGCTCACTCCTTAATTTTTTTAGAAAATTTCAAATTGTAATATATATATATATATATATATATATATATATATATGAAAAATAAATTATATAATTTTTTAAAGCATAACATTTAATATTAGTAAATAATGAAACATAAAATTAAATATAATAAAAAATAAATTTATTTTATTGAAATAATATTTATTTTCTTTTTATTGTCTTATTTTCATTATTTTTTATAAATATAGAAAAAAGAAATAAAGTATTTTATATTTTTTATAACTGATTTTTAATTGTAGCTTGATTATCATATTTTTTTAGTATTTATGTCTCTAAAATTTGGATTAATTTATGATAAATTATTTTTTCGTATTATTATTTTTTTTAAAATAGGTATTACGAAATAAAATGAAAAATAATTTTTTTTATTGATAATATGATTATTTTCATTGAAAAAAAGTGAAATTTTAATTTAAAAGTCTAAAAAAACTAAAAATAATCCTTCATACATGTGATATATTATTTTTATTATATTAATAACAATAATTAAATATATAAATTTTGAATATATTGAATTCCTCACTCTTGTCAGGGCCTGGAAAATTATAAGGCCATATGGGGCAGACAGACCCATCAGACTAAGGCCAACCTAACCTTAGAAAGGGCTTCTCAGAATTTTCATTTCTCCTGAGCTCTTTTCTCTCTCTCTAAGACTCTTTGCCCTAAACTCTTCTCTACCTTCTCTCTAAATTTCCAGCTCTCTGAACCGTTCAATCTTGGGTTGGGAGGTGCTTAGGCGTTTACCACACCAAAGGCTTCCTTTTGAACCGATCGTATTTTCAATTGGACCGGTAAGTCATTTTTCCCTTCTCTTTCACTATCTTTGAACCTAGGGCATGCAACGTTACTGGTTGCATGTTACTAATGGGGTTTCATTTTCATATTTTTTGCCAAATCAAGCTCTAAGAGCTGTTGTTGTCCCCACTTTGGTGGTTTGTAGGGTGTGGTTGAGTTCTCGTTTTGTGAGATACTGTAAAGGGACGTTATTGTGAGCGTGGTAGTTCAACTCTGAGGTAAGGGGAGCTAGTTATTTATCTTTGAATGGAATGCTTGAATCTGTTTGATAAATGTAGGTATGTTGTACTCTGGAATGTTGTACTGCTTTTAACTGTGTGTTTAATTTTTAAGTTGATTGGATGGCATGAACTGAAATGTGCAATTGGTGAGATTGAAATGTGGAATTTATGAATGTGACTGGTGGGAATTAGTTGCTGTATATTTAACGTATGGGAAGTGGTTGGGGGTGAGGCTCTATTGTAGTATTAATAAGATAAATGGTTTAACAATTTGGTAGCCTTTAAGGGTCAATTTAAGGGAAGTGACATAGTGATTTTGAGTAACAGAGGTCTAGGATGAGTTTACAGTGTTGGAACAGTTTTGAGGGATCAATTGTGACTTGTTGAGAGCAATTTGTTGGTAGGATAGAAGAATCTTAAAAACCTGAGTTGGCACATCCTTGATCATAGAGCAGCCCTGGCCTGGTCCAATCAATTGTGACTAGTCATATGTGCTGGTGTCGAAGATGAGACTGATGCGTTCAGACATCTGATTCTTCTCCGATGACCAATTGGGTTAGGGAGATGTGGTTGAGGTGGAAATCCTGTGTTAGTTATGTTAGATGAGTAAAAGGTTAAGAAAGTATTGTTTTTAGTCCTTTGAGAGGAACTGAGGTAGGGAATTTGAGCATAGGTGGTCTTGAGTGCAACTGGACAATGTGGCTAGCTTGTATGAGTCAATTAGAACAAGTTAGGATCATAAAACTGAGTAAAGTCATGTTCAACATGGTAGAATTGAAATTGGGTTCTTGGATTAATAAAAAATGGGAGTTTAAGTTAAAACTTGGGTATTGATCACTTTAAAATCATGTTAGTAATGCTTGATAATAATCTAAACAAGTTTAATTAGGTACAAAATATGAATTAGAAGTCTTAAAAGTTGGAAGAAAGGCCTAGAAGTGGTAAGGAGTGGGTGAGTGGGTAATTCTGCAAAATTTGCGAGTTATGCAGATTATGCAGACTCGCTAAGCGAAGGTTTTCGCATAGCGAGTCCTCACAGAGAAGTGTTCTCTGTTTGAGCATTCGCACAGCGAGTCGGTGCGCTGTGCGAAAGACTAGAGAGGGTTGCTATCTGTTTGGTAAGTCGCGTAGCGAATGTAGTCGCTTTGCGACTATTGCTAGCATGGAAAATTAGCCAAATTAATTCGAATAGCGAATTTGGGGCTCTATGCGAATTTTAGTTGTTCCCCTGTTAGGAAAATTCGCTCAGCGCATCAAGGGTGGTGCACTATGCGAATTTTAGCTGAAAAACACTCCCCTCGTCAGGAAAATTCGCTCAGCGCACCAAGGGTGGTGCGCTGTGCGAATTTTTGCTGTCTTGTCTTGCATCTTGGTGCGTTGTGAGACCTGGTTCAGTGAGTTTCATACTTTTCCACATCTGTTTGAGCTGTTTGAGGTTGTTTGACTGCCAGGATGTATGTATGGTGTTGTTGAGTGGTTGCAAAGCATATGAATGTGAACTACAATGATGTAATTGAGTATGAAGTGGACATCTCAGGGTGAGATGATTGAAAGTGATGTGTGGGGTGTTATTGTTGTTCTGTATAACTGTATGGAGCTTTGAACTGGTATGTCTATCCCTACACTCAAAGCACTGTTCATGCTCAAATAGAGAAGAACAATGTGAGTGGTGAGAGTAGAGGGAGGTCCTCGTCTATAGTCTTAGAGTTTAGACATAGACAGATGGGGGATTTACCTTGCATAGTGTTGGGGAGTGCCAACTGAACTACGCAAGTGCATAGACGACCAATAGTTCGACAATTATACCAATCCGGATGAGTCGTGTGAGTGTTTGAGTCATGGTTTAAAGTGGTATGCCTTGATTGTTCTTTATATGTAGCTAAGCACGATGATAATTATTGATTGAACTATATGATTATTGCTTGTTTATCTAGTTCACCCTTGCTTCTTTGTTGTGTGTTGCTTTTGTATGTTTTCTTTTGCGATGATCATCCATGAGAGCAGAAATTGTTGAGGAGATACCTTTGGAGCAAGAATTAGAGAACACTGA